TCTCAGTTTTACGAGGGCAGCACCTCAGGTTCGATGTCCTGCAATTAGCATCTTATGTGCCACACAGCAGACTTGTGTGGCATGGCTGTAAAGAAGCTTTTAGCTAAGCACATTGACCACGTTAAATAAAGTTTGTTGTTGTTGTTGTTGTTGTTGTTGTTATTATTATTATTATTATTGGAACTATCATTTTTTATTAAAAATGTATAATTTGTGCGAAGCGCTTTTGATCTTCTATTGTAAGTAGGGTTATAAAAGCGATAAATTATTATTGTTATTATTGTTATAATTATAATAATAATTATTATTATTGTTGTTGTTGTTGTTATTATTATCATTATTGTTATTATCATTTTTTATTAAAAAATATTTAAAATTAAAAATTTTTTTTTAAAATTTTGAGGAGATGTAGCGACATCATTGCACTGAAATCGTCAATGAATCTTACGTGATGTCAAACCCTCCCCCACTCCTCCCCCCATCCCCACCAAGGGTGCTACCGCAGGTGGGAAAATGTGGGTTCAGAATTACGCTCGAGTGTAAGTTATCTTATCCAGTCACAGCTAGCACACAACACAGGTTATATCAAAAACGATGTGACGTTATTTACTGAATGTTAACACATATTCTCACACATACATTATTAGGTGATTTGAAAAGTAGTAACTTATCTAAGTATCCTGTAAAATTGAACCGTATTTCGTCGAGTTATAGAGCAGTTTTAGTTAACAATTATTCGAATTGACTATCTTATTTACGGAGACACGGTCGAGACGTTGACCATATTAAATTCACCAAGCCCAGAGTTAAGTTTTTTTCATACAACCTTAGACCTGAATATCGAAGAAAAAAGACGAAATTCAGGATTAAAAAAAAGGTTTGGTATTACTTTCCCTCTGGCAAACCTCATAATCACCGTTTGACCAGTAAATAAATAGCACGAAACTCGATATTTAAATCTAAAACTCAAATATGTTAATCTTTGATAATAGGAAATTACGAAAAATAGGAAAATGAACTCATGGAAGCTAGAAATACAAAATTTTCAAAACATGCAAAATTAGATAGGAAAAAGGAAAGTCGAAAAGGTCTGAGGTGGATGAAGAAATGAATTTTTAGAAAAAGATAGTGAAAGAGAGAGAGAGAGAGAGAGAGAGAGAGAGAAATAAGATCTATATATTTTTAGATATTCATAACATATTGGTTTACGTGTCATCATATTTCTTTTAATTACTAATGTTAATGACTTTTGCTTGCCTACATCACTCCTACTCACACACCTGCTCACCGGTCACGGCTTGTTCATCCATCATGATTACCTCCACCTAAACTGCATGAGTAGACATAGTGGTTAATGCTCCTCGCTAAACAAATTATATATTATTTCATAAATTACTCTAAGGGCTAGACCATTAGATAATTGAGGGGAGATTGCGTAAATTCCCACCAAAAAAATATCTAGCAAGCACTTTACACGCTAGAAAAGTATTGTGCAATCTCTCCTTTCATTAAAGAAATATCGAGCACACACAGAAACATTGCGTGTATCGGTTGCTACGAAAAAATATATCGTGCAGCATAAATTTCTGCTGGCGCCCCCTCTCTCCCCTTCACTCAATCATTTAATGGTATATTCCCAAGGATTTAGTTCGTATGAAGACTTGACAAGTGAGAAGAGAGTAATTCTAGGCGAACCGCATGATTGTCAAACGATCAAGTAACGAGACTTTTTAGTCCAAATATGGGGGAGTTTGTGGTGTTCTTTAACTTGATTAAAGTGCGAAAATCGGCAAAAATATGAAATATTTTCTATGAGACTGTCAAACATTGTCGACCTGGCTAAATGTGAACGTGTATTAAAAGCAGTTCTCTCAGGGATAAAAGAGAAGGAAAGAAAATAAATGAATAAAAATCAAGTTAATCGAGGTGTTAATCGAAGAGAAGAGAAGAGAAGAGAAGAGAAGAGAAGAGAAGAGAACAGAACAGAAGAGAAAAGAAGAGAAGAGAAAAAATAGAAAAGAAGAGTTGGGAAGGGGTGATGCAAAACTCCAAGTACTTTTATTTTAATGTCGTTTAATATATTTTTCAGTCGATAATATTTCATATCATTTCTCAATTGACACGGTTTTCTTTGTTATTCACAAGGCTTTATTTTTGTTATAACCCTCATTATAATTGCGTTAACCCGGTTAATAACTATATATAGCCTTCGCATTTATAATGAGCAACATTTGATAGAAAACTTCTCAATTGATAAATAAAATACATTACCTCAAACGTCGGCAATAAGACTGCGGCCCTCGGGATGTACATGGCTTATTGCCTCCGTTCTCGGTAATTAACTCTTACTTAATCATTAATGCTTTAAAGGGGCACTTGGATAAAAAAGAAACGATGAAATATAGCCTTTAAAGAACTATATCAAATTCCGGAAAATATTAACTGCTAAGAACGTCACTTAAGTAATTTTTAAAAATAGGGTATTTGAACGGCTAATGGTTAGCCTAATGTTCAAAAAGATACCAAACCTATTAAGAAAAAATCTTAAGAGAAAAAAGATTAGAATATGTGGACCGCGTAGCACTTATGAAATACATGAAGATACAGAAATATAGATAAATTATAGTGCTTGGGAACGAGGTTATTCCGGGCGAAAGCCCTTGGAATTAAATTCGGAAAGATTAATTTCCGACCTCGCTGGGAATCGAACCCACGACCTTCACCCCGGCCTGCTCTCAGTCTGACCTCTAGCTCAGCTGGTAGAACATCGGTAGTACAATTCCGAAGGTCGTGGGTTCGATTCCCAGCGAGGTCGGAAATTAATTTTTCTGAATTTAATTCCAAGGGCTTTCGCCCGGAATAACCTCGTTCCCAAGCACTATAACTTATCTATTTTTCTATATTAAGAGAAAAAAACATTGGAGATTAAGAGCTGACAAGCGAAACGCTTGCTTGCTCCCGACATTCTGGCGTTGGCAAATTTTATTGCATAAATTAGGCATTAATCACCAGGGCGATAACTACGTCACATCTTATCGTTTTCGTGAATTTTCTTTGCATTTTTAAGAACTTTTTTGAGGACGATATGTAGTCTTGGCGGTTTCCCGAGTAGTATAGCCCGAGAATAAATAGGAGCGTGAGTTGACAGTTGAACAAGCAGAGTTAAGTTTTCTTCGAGATAAAATAAAGAAAAAATAAAAACAAAAATAAATAAATAAAAAGGAAATGGTTAACGAAAATAAGCATAAAATGGAATGAAATAAAATTAGATGGTATACTTGTAAAGAAATGTGAAGCGAAATAAGATACATGAAATGAACAATGAAAATAATTTAACAGACAAAGGAAACTCAGAAAAATTACAAATTGAAATGCAAACTAAAAAACAATCTTTCCTTCCATCTCAGCGTGGTTGACATCAACTAACAGCATTTTTTCACGGTTACTAAAAATAGATTTCGCAAAGCCTTATGGGATCGAAATGCCAACAAACAATGCAAAAAGGGCTTTGACTATATATGGAAAAGAAGTAGAATGTCAGTCGAAATACTATAGTTTTTCCATGAATCAGAAACAACAAGACTACAAAAACTTGCACAATTATGACGTCATCTGTGGGTGGAAAACACTATTCCATCGCGTGTCAATGAAAAAAAATTGTTGCAGCATGTCAGCATGTGCGCTTTGGCTTGGCTTGTACTCATTTCCATCCCATGATGCACAATTATGACGTCATTTGTGGGTGGAAAACTATTCCATCGCGTGTCAATGACAAATGAATATTTCAAAACGAAGGCTGTATAGACTGTAAGGTTGCTCAATTCACGGGTTAACAGGTGCGACATTAACATAAAGAGACGCTTGCATAATCTGATAACGAAAGTCATCGCCGCTGATCGATGTTTCATGATAACCATTCTAGTATTAACATCCTACGAATTTTAACGTATTTTCACAAAATACTCAACAAAATTACTCGATTCAGATTGGACAAGAGGAATACAAATAAATCGTTAATTCTACTCTGTAGAATCCCAATTGAGTTGCTCAATTTCGACTAAAGGCTCGTCCAATTTAGTATCGCGATTCACTAAATAGTCTCTTATATTTTTGACACGACAATATTTTGTGGTATTGTCGTTTCAAAATTAAGGTTTCTGATTGGCTAACGCGCAACGAAAAGGAAAGCTTGAGCGCGCACGCGTCAAATTTTTACGCTTGTTGCTTGCGCCATAGCGCGCGCTCGTAAGGAGAATCTCGCTTTTAATCAAAGAAAATCTGTCATTTGTTTTTCTTTTTTGTGTGTTAAATTCTTTAGGATCGCGATACAAAACTAATTACGAAATTGAGCGACAATACCACGAAATATTGAGGGCCTTGGAAGAAAATATATTTGGTATTGGGTGGAGTCGCGAATACTGAGATTTTCTCCCAACTAGCCGTCAATATTTCGTGGTATTGTAGTCTCAAAATCGTAATAGTAAGCAATCTTTCAAGGTCGTGCGATTTTCTGTACAAATCGTAGGCTCAGGGGAAACCCTAAGGTTTTTAGTGATGTGATTGGCTAGAAAAAAACTAAGCTTTCCAGTGATCTGATATACGCATCCCACATGGAAAGGAGTGAGTATGCGTTCAAAACCATCACCGTCGCAATCACTATTTTTGAGTTTGCTGGTCATAGCAAGGGGTTCATCATCTTTTGCAAGTAAGCTCACGATTGCCGATAGTTGGTGAAGTTTTTCTTTACAAGTCGGTGTAGAAATTCAAGTCCAAGATCTGAGATTCACAGTTCAAGATTCAAGGCTCAAGATTCTCAAGACTCAAGAATCAAGATTTCTGAAGTC